TGTTTACACGGGTTACAAATGCGCATTCATATTTCGAACAGCGTCCGGACTTATGTTTATTCACCAAACACGTCCGTTTTGACAAATGTTATGATTCGTGCATTGACAGTACTTTTCAACCAAGGTTAGGACCTTTGGAGAACCTGTGTATGTGTGTGTGTTTTATGCGCGTGTGTGTGTGGCGGGGGTGGGGGGTGGGGGTGCCGGATGCACGTCAGGATGTATCACGATAAAAAGGTTAAGTAAACACCTAGGCCTACACGAACAAAGCTGATTATTTCCTCTCTTTCGTTCTCTGCCTGTCTGTCTCTTTGTCTCTTTCCTATCGTACCAACTTTTGGATACGTATACAGTCACGCAACAAACAATGGAGAAAAAAAAACATAATACACTGGCCAAGTCTCTTATTTCAAAACTACTTCCTGCTCGGTATGCGATGTAGAAAAACACATGATTTTTCACACATCTTTAATATTACATATACAGATATTTGACTTCTTCGTTGTTGTTTTCACTGTATTATATTCATAATTGCCATTTACAATAAATAATGATTAATTGAAAAAAAATAAACGAAGTCTAATTTCTCTTGTAGAAGAGACGTTGTGATAAGAGAAATTAATTATCTACCCACCACAAAGAAGGCACGGAAGCCATTGTGCCGAAAGGCAACAGGAAGAAACACAAACACGAAAGCAAGTTTGCATGCGCTACATCATCACCATCATCATCTGTGGGCGACACGCGGAACAGAACAAAAGCATGAATTCAAAAGCTGCTTCAATTGACGAAGAGGGTGGAGGACGATAATGCTGGGATGATGAAGGGCTGAGGGTGAGGTCACTTCCACCCTCAGACACGTGGGCGTGCGTCACACGCCCTTACGACGCCCACAAGTGCCTGGTTCATGGTAGGCAGGTGTGCCACCACTGGCAAACGGGCATATTATGCTTAAATGCCACCAAGGGCCATGACCGACCCTTGTTAAGCCGGGATAAGAGGAATGACAACATACTTGTGTTTGACGTCATCATTATTACCGTCTCTATGCGACTGCTGCTACTAGATTAACACTCTTCCCCCCCCCCTCTTCCTATGTTTGCATGTCTCTCTTCTTACACAAACTTCACATACGCATGTAGGCACACACACACACACACACACACACACACACACACACACACACACACACACACACACACACACACACACACACACACACGCAAACGCATAGCGAATCAAGCAATCGGCGGACAATGCCATGATCCACCGAGCCACTCACCCCCTGCCTACATGGATATCTTCCCCACGCAGGGATATCCACCCACGCCTAACCTTTTCAACCGCAACCGCCTATCCACTCCTAACTACGCCTCAAGTATAGAGGTCTCAAGTCGCGAGAAGAATTAGCTGCTTGATGTCTGCGCTGTCTTCAAGTTGCAACGAGGTTCGCATCTCATCTGCTATCGTCAATGTATTGCGCCCGAAATGTGAAATAAAAAGAGAAGAGAGAGTGCAAAAAAGAAAACAAGGAGAGAGAAAGAAAAGATAAGAAAAAAGAGAAGTAAGGAATGGGAAGAAAAAGAGGAAAGGACAGGACAGAGTTTAGAGAGGAAGAGTAATACAATAAAATAAAAAAAAAGAAAAAAAAAAATGAAGAGAGAAAGAAAGAAAAGAGAAAAAGAAAGAAAGAAAGAAAAAAGAAAAAGAAAGAAAGAGAGGACGGGGTGGGGGGTGAGAGAGAGAGAGAGACGAGAGAGAGAGAGAGAGGAGAGAGAGAGAGAGAGAGAGCGAGAGTGAGAGAGAGTGAGAGAGAGAGAGAGAGAGAGAGAGAGAGAGAGAGAGAGAGAGAGAGAGAGAGAGAGAGAGAGAGAGAGAGAGAGAGAGAGAGAGAGAGAGAGAGAGAGAGGAGAGAGCAGAGCGAGAGAGAGAGAGCAGAGAGAGAGCAGAGAGAGAGAGAGAGAGAGAGAGAGAGAGAGAGAGAGAGAGAGAGAGAGAGAGAGAGAGAGAGAGAGAGATCGGACGAAAGAAAAAAAAAAAGATATTCCCATCTACAACCTCTTGGCTTGGCCCTCTCAATGCTTGTTGCAAATTTCAAGGCATCCGGCGCAATATACCGCACTCGCTTTAGCCGCCGTGCAAATGCAAGGTGTCGCGACGCGAGCTGCGGCGCCGCAGCCACGTCGGCCGGTAACTTTAGCGCAGGTGGTGTGACAGCCGGATCAACGCCGTGCCAAGTTGAACACGATTGATGTCCGGCGCTCTGGCACGGCCGTCAGCGTTCTCGTCGCTCAATCGACATCCACATATATGACCAAGTCCTATCTCCTGTCAACCAAGTCTACTCACTAAACCGGACGAACTTTGGACGGAGCTGCATGGAGGACCAGCCCATCTAATTCTTACACCGCATAAGGTGATAGACAGGTGCTGACAGCAAGGGCCGCATGCGCATTGGTACCAGCGCGGCGTACAGCAAAGCAGCATGGCCAATTCCCTCAACCACGCGGCGGTATGTGCAATTCACCTGGGCACGTCTCCGCACTGGCGCCGGACCCTCGCGGGAACACAGCGCACGGCATTCCTTCGCGCTATACTTCGCTACACCTCGCCTGTGATCCCGCTCGTCGGATGACCAAAACGGCGTGGCGGGAGATTAGCGCTCACATTTATGAAAATCCTTGACATTACAGGTTCCCAAAGAAGAAAACAAGAATCAGATGTTTATATGCACTTTAATCGTCTTAAATTGGTTAGCTGGCAACCGCTCTACGAGAAGAGAGTGGCGCTGACTCCGCCGGAGATGGTAAACAAGAAGGCAGTTTATTAACACCAGCGACGACCTAGACCACCTCTCCCTCCACCACAAACGAGGCAAATATGGCTCCCATCCCTATAACAAGCCCTCCCTCCCTTACCTGAAAGACACCCCGAGGCCGGACAAGGAAATACGCCATGTAACTTCTTCCGACGCGATGCATGCAACATCACCCCGTGGCAAAGAAACAATGGCAAAGGCAAGCCGCTACACGAACGTGAGGCCAAAACGCACCAGCGGCGGGAACGAGCCACTCTTGCCATTGGCACTGAGCCCAAAGGAGTTTTTTGTGTGTGGCGGAGGTGAGCTTGTGCCACACCTATCATACGTCGGGGTATCCTACACATGGGAAGGCGCGGGAGGGGGGGGGGGGGTACGAGGAGGAAGGGAAAGAGGAGGAAGGGCAGGGGAGGTGGATGATGGGTCGATTCATCCTTCTTCCCAGGCACTGTAGAGCAGAAAAAATACATCTGCCGTCCCTTATATGACACAAAAACAAACGAGACAACCTTAACCGGATAGTCCTATATCTTCATGAACCTAATTCATTTATTCTACATATGCGATCGCTAAAGACGAGCAAACTTTCATCTCCTTTGAGAAAATAACTAGTAAGCTGTATATACTCGTATGTGTTAGTTTGAATGCAAATATAAGTGTGCCTATGGTGTACGAGTACAAGTATGACTACGAGTAAACGTGAATATGAATATTTTGATTGTGTTCAGTAAATGTACACATTATACTGCGTGCGCTTGTTCTGTGTCTGCATGCTGTCTGCGACTTTATATGCCCGTGTTCTTTAGGAGGGTATAATGTAAATACGAATACGCGATAATATCCAGAGAAACAACCTTCCAACTCAAAGGGGATTTAAAGACACTCACGGAATAAGGCAGATCTTGGCCTTAGAGTATTAGCTTTCTTTTCCCGTCATGGATGTTTATATTGGTATGGTGATGTAATATATGGGTTTCATTTTAGATGTAACTGATCAATATTAATGATAATCATAATTGTAGTCGCGATGATGATGATATAAAAATCAATAACAACAATAGCAGCAACAAAGATAATAATAGTATATGAAAAAAAGTTTAACATCAGCAAGAATAATAAAAAAGCAAAGCTATCATCATATCCAAATTAGATAACACCGCCTACGATAATAATAAATAATGTAACAATAAGTCATCTGAATGATACCTGATGATGGTGATCAAAATTTTTAAAATCATATCCATAACCAATATATTACGGATGCATATCATAATCATTCCTATTATAAATAGAACTATTAATGTTTCTACTGATATCAATGTGATGATGATGACCACCGTTATAATACTAATTATTCTTATCACATATCACTCATCATTATCGTAATCAACATTACTATAATTAATATTACCAATGATAATGATACCAGTAATGATCTTGACACAGTATTACGAATGTATATTTTGCAACCGACAGTGAAAATAACAAACAGCTGAGAAACACCAAACAGGAGAGAAGGGAGCAAAGAACGCCCAAAAGCCATCTCAAAGTCAATGAACCGCAAACTTTGAAAGAAAAAAAAATCCCGAGTGATTGAGCGCGCCATCACGCGCACGCACGGCGCCGCAAAAAAGCCGACGTGGTCTGCGAGGAGCGGGCGCAGACAAGGCGAAGGGGAAGAAGGGGGCTCTCCCAGGCCCGAAGGACTGTCAAATGCGAGCGCCAACGTTGTCCCTTCGGCGGCGCATGAGTCACTCGCGGAGCCCGTCCAGAGCCGCGGAAAAGACAGCGACATCCCTCAGCTGTCGGTTAGGGTGACAGCACGTAATGGTCACTCACAAAACACGACCGCAATGGGGATCACCATTATCTCCTCCGATCATCGTCGCAGCGAGGAGCAAGGCGGAGTGGTCGTCCTTGACTAGGTTTTGGTAGTATGGTGGTACCGGTACTGATGTCGGTGTGCATGTTTCCGCATTCCTCGTGGCACTCATCTCTTCGGCGACGATAGGAGGGGCGTGGCACTCCTGTCCGAGGATCAGGAGCGGGGTAGGAGGGGAAGGAGCAAGGACTCCCCGTCCCTGCTATCCCCCGACCCTCTAGCCGTGTGAGTCATCTCTCTCCCTCTCTCTCCCGGGCCGAAGCGACGGACGGCCGTGCCCTCTCTAGCCGCCGCGACGCCATGCCCACGACTGTGCGCTCGCCCTTCTGTCCCCAAATGAATAATCCTGCACGACTAACCAGCCGCAGCTTAAGGGCGCGCGATGACCGTTCGGCCTGGGTTCCTCGAATAACGCGCGTCCCGTTAGCCGGGACACTATGAGTCCCGCGAGAGACAATTAGGGAACGACGGTCTAAAACGAGTTTCAATGAGCACGCTGTATATGGCGGTGGTGCGGGGCGCGGGACCTTCGCGCCACCAGGTAGTAGAACCCTCACTCAAATGCCACGTCATACACGACCCGCTCTATCAATGATCGGCGAAGGCGGCGGCGAAGGCGACAGAGGCGAGATCTCGTGTGTGTGTGCTTGCTTGATTGTTTGCTCTGCCATGTCTTTCTGAGATTCCTACGCCGGTCTTCCCCAATAACAGACATTTATCGAGGGCAATCATGTTGATGCTAATTCCCCGTAGGTGCATAACCATGGTTCATGTCTGCGAAGAACCCGAGACGTCAACACAGGTGGCTAAAAGTACACAAAGCCCCTCACGCCCTGCTTTCGCACTCTTCCCTCGTGTTCTCGAACTCGGCGCAAGCTTGCAAGGAGACGGAGTAGGATTCGCCGCTGTTTGGGACAACGCACGGGTACTGCCGCCGGGAGTCACACGCGCCATCGCAACTATGCACGTCACGGTAAGAGCTGGCACACGGGAAGGGGAAGAGGAGCTGTGTGTGTGGGGGGGGGCGAAGAGAGGGGGACTCCTAACCAAAATTTACACAAGTTGCACAGCTGGTCACGACCCGCCGTGAACGTCGTTTGCAAACCACGTGGATCCACCTCTCCCCCCTCCTTCCTCTCGAGCAGCCCGCCCTCCGCATCGCCGTCCTCGCCCCTCAGCTCCCTCCCCAGGTGCTGCCGTATAAACAATCCCCCTCACTTCAAACCCAGCCCGTTCCCAGAGACCTTTTTCAGGGGAGATTGTTTTCCTTACGCATCGAGACGTCTGCGCTACCACCTCCGCCAATGGCCTTCCCAAAACAGAGAAACGTTAGCCTAGACAAAAAGGCAAGCAGCTACCCCAAAGAAAGTTATAAAAAAAAAAAAAAAAACAATACAAAACGTTATCAAAATTACGACATCGGATTCCAGCACCGGTAATATTACAAACCTAAAAATAGATTTATAAAAAGGCCTGCGTGAGCGTAAATGGTGTGTTCAGGTCGCGAGGCTCTTGGCTCCACGACCAGATCGGATGTAAACAAACTCCCAAGACCCCTTCCCCCGCCGCCTCGCTTCCCGTCTTGCCTCGGCTCCTCTCATCTTCTGCACCCATCTGTCCTCCCCAACATCACCTTGGGCGGCTACGCTTCGTCTCGCTTTGCTGACGCTCAATCACGGACACTTAGGAAGAGTAAGAAAATATAGATAGATAGGCTAGATAAATAGACAGAGACGGACAGATAGATGGATGGACAAATATGTGTCTATATAAAGATAGACATATAGATAGACATGTAAAGAGACAGATATGCAGACGAATAGACAGATACAGACTGACACACAAACAGATAGATATATGGATATAAATATTCAGACAGATAAGACTNGGAGGGGGTAGGGGAGGGAAGAGGGCGAGGGAGGTGGGGGAGGGGAGGGGATGCAAGAAGGTAGGGAGCGGGAGAGGAAGAGGAAAGGGAAAAAGGTAAGGAAGGAGGAAGGATGGAGGAGGGAGAAAGAGGAAGACGGCAGCAAAGGAGGAAGAGGTAGAGGAGACGAGGGAGGGAGAGGAAGGGTGAGTGGGGGAGACGAAAAGAAAGAAGGGAGGAGGGAAAGGAAGTGGAAGAGGGAGAGGGAGAGAGGAAGGAGGAAGAAGTGGAGGAGACGAGAAGAAAGAAGGAAGTGGGAAGAGGAAAACGACAGGGAGAGAGAGGTGGAGGTAGGCAAGGAGGAAGGGCGGGGGGTAGGAAGGCGGACGGGAGGGGGGGGGGGGTGGGGGGGGGAGGGAGGGGGGGGGGGGGGGTGAGGGGGGGGGGGGGGGTGAGGGGGGGGGGGGGGGGGGTGGGGGGGGGGGGGGGGGTGGGGGGGGGAGTCCTGGGGTTGTTTTTGTCTGTGTTGTTATTATCATTATTTTGTTCGTTTTTTCTTCTTTTAACTCTCTACTTCACCTGTTATTTTTTCATCTTTTGATCCTCATGCTTAGGAAACGTTTTTTTGTGCATTAGTTCATTTGGGGCGATCCAGTCCACCTGGATTGTTCTGATGATAATGAAAAGCATAAGTGAATCGCTTCGGCCTCTAATCAGTCCCTGTTTCCGCACAGCCTCCGGGCGCCGGCAAGACGTACCTGGTGAAGCAGATGAGCAACGTGTGCGAGATGCCGCTGTACGGCGTGCACACGCACCAGGTGCGGGGGGCGGCGCAGACCAGGAAGCTGTTCGAGCAGGCGAGGGACAACTACCCGTCGCTGGTGTTCATGGACGACGTGGACGCCATCTTCGCCAACCACGACGAGGAGCCGCCTTGCACAACCTACGTGCAGGCCATCCGCGACGAGCTGTTCGCGCAGCTGGGGCCTCGCAAGCTCAAGATTGTGGACCCGAAGTCGTCGAAGAACCCGACGGGCAGCGCGCTCCCCTCGCCCTCCTGCTCGTCCTCGGGCCGCGGGGTCAACGGCGTCGGCGGCGGGAGCAGCAGGGCCTCCAGCAGGGCGTCGACCATGTCCCGGCCACGCCCCTCGCTCTCCCGACGACGAGTGAGGACGCGTACCCCGAGGACGAGGACTCGCCCTACCCTGACAACAACGGCATCATCGTCGTCGCGGCCACGAGCGCCCCCTGGCTGCTCTACAAGGCAAGTCGCGTCCTCTCTCGCCTTCCTTTTTATGGCTTAATTCGTCATGACAGTAATCGCTGTTTTTGTAACGTTTTATTGGCGTATTTTGCGCATAGCCAGGCAGCGCTGTGTCATCATAGCACCACAGTTATGCCAGTTAAGCGTGTGCAATGACTTCCCTTCTTCTTGTCTCCCATGTGCCACATATCCAATACTAATCACGTTTATATCATCATGATAACCATTCCCTCTGTATTTTACAACCTCAGAAATTGCCTTTCCAATCCTACTCACTCTTTCCCAATCAAAATAATCGTCGACTTCCCCCTCTCCTCATGACGCCCTTAGGACCATGAACTGCTCAGTCGGTTTCGCGGAGTGTACCTCGTGGGTCTCCCGGACAAGCAGGCCAGATACAACCTCCTCACGACGCTCTTCCAAGACGTCCACCACAGCCTCAGCGACAAGGACATCATGACGGTGGCAGAAAAGACAGAAGGGTAAGTGTAGGAGATTCTTGCAGCAGAGCACGCGAGAATACTCGTCGTATTTGCAAACGTTTCAGTCGCAAGACTTTGACATGTAGAGAACTGAAGCGTATGTTTATATACATCTGGAATGGGAATGGAACAAATACAAGTAGAATAATAAAATCGATGCAGAGAAAGCGACGATAAACCAAATCCAAATAAACCTAAAATGAACCACATCCAGGCAAGACGATCATGACCCCCTCCTATTGCCCCTTTGCAGGGTTCACCGCGCCCGCTGACCTCATGGTGGTGGTCAAGACCCTCACGTACCGCCAGTTCTCGTACCTCCTGTCCATGACCTCCCCGCACGTCGGGTCCGTCGACGGGAGCTCCAGCGAACTCGGGTCTTCGGGCTCGAGGACTCCGCTGTCGTCGGAAATGTCGGAGGTGAGTCTTCTGGTCGGAGGTTGAAGGGGTTGGGAGGTGCAGGGTTTTTATTGTTGTTGAGTTCGTGTGTGCTGTTGGTTGGTTCTGTGAATGAAAGCGGTTGGCAATTGTTTGAAGGGAAGGACTGCTGGAAAGGTGTGGTTGCCATGCGTATTTTGTTTTAACGTTGGAAACCAGTGAAGCCAAAATATCCCCCATAATTCTACCTCATGACTCTCCTTCCTTCCCGTCCCCAGTCCGGCTCTGAGTCGGACCTCGACGGCCTTCCGGAGTCGGAGAGCCACATGAAGCGCGGCGTGGTGTCGGTCGCCGCCGTGGCCGCAGCCGTCGCCGCCGCCAGCGGGGCCGTGCCCAAGAAGGACCTGAAGCCCGCGGCGGCGCCCAGCAAGAAGGGGCCAGCGACGCCGCCCGCGTGCGTCACGTCCCTCTGCAAGGACTGGGACTCCGACGAGGACGAGCACACGGAAGGCCCCCACGACTCGCCCGAGAGTCAGCGGGACGAGGTACGGAGGCTCGCTGCGAGGGCGTGCGGCTTATTTAGTTTTAGTTTTATTATTATTATTATTATTATTATTATTATTATTATTATTATTATTATTTATAAATTACTTTTGTGACTGATTTATAACCAGTACTGTGATTAGTCGGCGACCGGCGTTGTTGCCGTTGCTGGACCTGCGGGAATGTAAACCCTGCATAAAGTAATAGGTGGCTGTTAAAGGTTTGATATATTGTGTAGGTTTTAAAGGAACGGGTCTGCAATATTTGACGCAGTTTCCCAAATGTGAACAATAAAAAGCATATCGAAATGAAAATCAAATCCGGCTAGTCAGTTGGGCTTATCATTATTGATTTTGATATAAATCCCACCTCCTTCTTTGCAGAAGAAAATAGCATCCAACGACCCCCAGGCGCCGACGAGAGTCCTGGAGGAGTCGCTGCTGGCGCGGAAGGGGAGCAGCTCGGCGTCCCCAGGCGGCAAGCAGGGCGACGAGGGCTCCGTGCCGTCCCCGGACTCCGCGATCGGCATGTCCAAGAGCAGCGAGGAGGTGGACGCCCCGGCGAGACTAGCGGAGCAGGACGACGCGCCCGACCGACGGACGCCCTCGGAGAGCAGTAGTAGTGGAGTGACCTCTTCAGGCTGTGATAGTAGTGATAGCAGTGCAATAGTTGACGAGGGAGTCGGGGAAGCCGGCGACCACGCCCCTTCTGCCAAAAGTGACAGTGAACCGAAGGCGGAGGAGGACGCAGGCGCCCTCGGAGGCTCAAGGGAAGGGCGGGAAGGCGGGGAGGAAACGGCTGAAAAGGACAGCTTAGTGGTAGAGGAGGAGGGGGACATGGAACCCAGTAGTGAAGGTGCTCACTGTGATAATGACAAGGAAGAGGATGTGAACACGACAGAAAACTCTGGAAACTGTGACAATGACGATGGCCGGGTCGGAACCCCCGCCGAGTTCGAGTTGCATTACAGTGAACCCCCAGAGCCCATGCGGGATGACAACTGTGCCATTGACAGTGACAGTGACAATGACGTAGTGGAGACCCCTCGCTCAAGGGGCGGGCGCCGCGTGGCATTTTCGGGCATGTCTCCCATGGAGCCTCTGTCCGTGGACGTCGGCGACAACTGCGGACCGCCCAACATTTCCCTAGACGACATTCCACCGAACATCTCGCTGGCGCCGTCCAACCTGCCGGAGCCCATGCTGGCGGACGACCGTCGCCAGGAGTCGGCGCCGAACGCCATCCTGCTGAGCCTGCTGTCCCGTCCCACCGGCTCCGCCCGCAGCGAGCGCCGCGACCGCCACCTGGACGAGCCCTCGGAGCTGGCCTCCCTCCTGCACCCAGACCACGACCTCGACGTCAACAAGACCTCGACGCCCATCGAGCCGATGGGGCCCCTCACGCCCACACCCAACCTGTCTCCAACCCCAACGCCGACGCCCAGCGAAGGGTCCAGTCACAATGGCACCGTTGGAAGCTCAGGGAGTGGCACTCACGCCTCGGGCAGATCCACAAGCAGCGAGGTAGGGAACCGTCCAAGTATTATTCATGATTCGCTGTTCTTTGCGAATCCCAAATCTAAATTTGCTCAAACTTTAGAATTAGCAAGTATCTTTCCAAAATGTGCAATTCACTGCTATTATCAGTAAGGATTCAGCAAAGGAACAAAGTATTTACAAGTTGCATAAGTGAGGTGTAACAATAAGCATGTGGCTCTTGACAGGTACGCAAGAAAGATGATAGTGACTCCTCCTTCGACCACAGTGATACCCACACCGTCCCCTCTTCAGACATCTCCACTGCCACGTGTAATGAAACAGGTAAGTGTTTGTTATTGTCAGCACAGCCTGCACACAAGTCAGGTCTATATCCATTCAGTTTTAAATTACGTTTTTTTCTTTTCCCTGATACTTACCATTTCTATCCTATTTTTTATATTTAAATTTCAGCTTGTTGATGAGTTTCTGTAAATTTGATGCCCGTTTCCTAATAGACCTTCTCCCCTCGTTACCCCGATGATTTTTGTAAGTAGTTCTCATGTTTCCAAACATACCTTCTCCCTTCGTTACCCATACATAATGCACCACTTACAAAGCACTACATACCCATTTACCTTCCAGGAGAGACCATGGAATGCAGAACAGATTCTGAAGAAAGGTTACAAGGGCTGGAGGACGGGCACAATCGAGCAGACAGCGACCGTGGCAGTGAGTACGACACCCCGACGGAGGCCAAGGCTGTGGGAGGAGGAGGAGGTGGAGGTCTGAACTCTCTCCTCAGCGATTTTGGGGAGATCAGCATTCAGTTGATCAGCCTGGTGAGTAAAGTAGTTGTGGTGTATTGTGGTATTGTGTGTTGGATTTTTTTTCTTTTTTTTTCTTCTTCTTTTTAGATATTTTTTTGTTGATTGTTTTATACTGTTTATTTTGAAAGGTTATGTATTCAAGAATATGAATGATGATTATTCCTCTTCTGTTTCTTCCTCATTTCCCTTTCCTCTCCCCTCTCTATTCCTCCTCCTTTCCTCCTTCTCTTCTCCTCTTCTTCCTCTTCCTCCTCCTCCTCCTCTCTTCTTCCTCCTCCTCCTTCCTCTTCTCCTCTCTCTTCTCCTCCTCCTCCTCCTCCTCCTCCTCCTCCTCTTCTTCCTCCTCCTCCTCCTCCTCCTCCTCCTCCTCCTCCTCCTCCTCCTCCTCCTCCTCCTCCTCCTCTTACTACTCCTATTACTCCTATTACTCTTATTACTCCTCCTTCTGCTCCACCTTCTTCTTTCCCTCCTCTCCTTTCCTTCTCCTCTACTTCCTCTTCTTTTGCCACTGTTTCCATTTGTCAATTCACATTCACCCATTTTTCAGGCTGATGTTCTTGAGGTGGTCGCAAAGGGCTACAGGAGTGTTTCAGACGAAGAGATCAAGCGATACACAGACTTCATGGTTTGGTTCTCGAATGTAGCTAAGTCTGCTTGTCCGCATTCTAAAGACGGTATGTTTGGGATAATGATAATAATAATAATAATAATAAATACAATAATGATAATGATAATGATGATAATAATAGTAATAATGATGATAATTGTAATGATGTATAGTATTCTAGATTTTTCATTTTATTGGTATTGTGATGAAGAGGATATAGTATGGGTTTTGAATATCTCATGTAACTAATTCTAATCAAAGATTAGAATTAAGATATTTTTATATAGTGTACTCTTCAAGAAAATTGTATCAATTTAACTTTTTATTCAGAAGTCATAACGTATTTACCTCTTGTCACCAGGTTCCCATAAAGCCAACGCCCCTCCACTTGACGACATCAGCGTCGACTCAACCATATATGACACACCGAGCATTGCCAAGAAGCGAAAAGGACCCCTTCGCAAGTTGGGCAGATTCCTCCTCAAAGCCTTGATGTTCATCCTTGATTGAGAGGGACATCCTTTACATGAAATGATGGTATTTTTCTGCGCTCAGGATTCGTATAAGAGACTTTTTTTTTATTACATGTATACATATCCTAGTCTTTCGTTAGACTTTTTTATTTATCGTATTGGATTTTATCGAGGACCAAATTGTTAGTTTTTTTATGCAGGGAGAAAATTATTTGACTACTATTGCAATCACTTTCCTCAAAAAGTGCATTTACACTAATCTGGTCATTTGGAAGGTATGTAACTTTCTTCCATGTTAGGTAATAATGCAGATACAGGAGTCAATATGTCTGATGATCAGACAATATCAACAAAATCAATTAGTTTTTTTGTTTTTGTTTTTTGTCTTATTTATTTTATTATTTCTGATGGTGAAGGCCATAGTAGCAGTTAGGCATGAAGAAGCCTTGAAATAAATGCCTTCTAATAAGAGGAAAGAGGAATAAAAGAACTTTGGTCTTCATGTATATATACAAGATTTTGTCACAAAATGCAAAGGAGTTGGACGATGGTTGTAGATCTTATGAAATGCCTCCAGAACGTAGATGGAGACAGTGTGAGACAATCAAATATTGCAATTTTGACGTCATAAGGAGAAGATACTTTCTCTTCCGTTTCATTTTATGTGTTGGAGAAGCCCAATTGTATAATGGTCGACTACTCTACATGCTGAATATAGAAAATGACATGGCTCGGGTTCCTCACGTCTTTCCCAGCGAGTGAGAAAACTAGGTAGTGGATGTCAGTTAATGATACTAGTAGCTGCATCACAGATTTTGAAACCATGGTCACAATACAGCGGCTTTTTTTCCTTTCTTTTTTTTTTTTTTGTATTTATTTTATTTTATTTTATTTTTTATTTTATTTTATTATTTTTATTTATTTATTTATTTTTTTTCTTTTTTTTTCTTTTTACAATTGCATAATTTCCCTTACAGTAAGTGGTTTGGGTAGTCGAGCCAATATAGTGTATATAATTGATAGATTTTTGGTCATGTGAATAGCCTAAGTTACGAGACGAAGTTAATTAGGTGAATATATATTTAAAATATATAAAAAAAAACAAACATTGGGATCTTGCTTGCTTCTGCTTGTTGATAGCAGTCAACCAGGGTTATTTTTTCCCCTTCATTGTGACAGTCTGCTTTTACATATATTTTTCTATTGTAATTTTGTACTGCAGATTAAAAAGATTATTCCAAGTGACATGCAATAATGCATATTTCAAGCATTCAGAAACCCAGACATTCCCAGTGGAATCAATATTATTATATAATATATCACATTTATATATATCACTTACAGTTCTGTTGTACTTTAGTGAACTAGTAAGGCAGTTAGAAATTGATCATTCATTGTTATTCAGGTCTAGCTAATACAACAAGGCAATGACATACATGTATTACTATTATAACAATTTATATAGAATGACTTGTCTATCATCACTTTGATCTTTAGTTTTTATGTCCTTTGTAGGTGTGTGATAGGATGATGTATTCAGTAAACAATGTTTTTATAGCAGTGTGATGGTGTAGTAACATTTGTTACCACTGTTCTAGGAAAAGAGGAAATACCTTCTTTTCATCTTATTTATCATATTTTTATAATTTTATAAAAATGAATTTGATATTTCCATCATGCAATTTTGGGCTTTAAAATTATGAGTAGGACTTTACTGTAAAGTCCTGTTTTCATCATAGAAAAGATACTGAACAAAATTACCAAATATGTATCTTCCATGGTTTGTATAAAAAATAAATAAAATAAAAAAACAATATGTCACAAAGTAGGGTTGCACATTGTTGATTTATTTCCCATTTTTATATCACTATATCCAAGAAATATTGGATAAAAAATTACCCATCTCTTTCTAAGTTCCTGCTAGTGTCACAAATGCAAAAGAAAAGTTTGAGGTTAATGTCTCCCAAAAGAAATTTCACAGGATGAACATACCTTATCATTTTTTTTCTTTCTTTTTTTTAAGAACTAGCTCAATTTTTTCTCCCTTTTTTAACATAAATTTATAGGATGCTTCTTGCACTTTTTTTTTTTTTACCCTTCAACCTTTCTTCCCTTTTACTACACAAAGGGTTTTCATAGCGAGCGTTCGTGCTGCATTAAAAGAGTCGCTGGAGACATTGTTTGATTATAGCTGAACAAGTCTACTGGAATATTTTTCAAAATGGTTTCCTTTCATAAGATTGGAATTGTTTAGTATATTAGAAATGATAAAATATACAGATGCATTATGAAACAATTTGTTTTCATTATTCCTAACTAAATAATGGTTAAAAGCAAAATAAATGTGCTAGACATCTAAGGTCATATAGCACTATAGGAAGCTATAGTAAAGGGTGATGTCAGGTGATAGTTGCTATGTCAACTATCTAGATAGTTTGAAAGGTTGAAGATGGGGAAAGGTTATGAGGGAAAGTTATGGTGGTTTAGGTAAGAGTTAGATCAAGTGAAGGATATTTATGCGTCTGAGGAAGGAGAACAGGTTGTCAAGGCAGAAGCTGTTGGATTCTGTAAGGATGTCTGATATGTTGGGAGGTCGGTGAAGGGAGGATAGGTGTGGAAAAGCAGAGGTACGTGCTGTATTAAAGCGTGGACAGGACAAGAGAATGTGTGGAACTGAAAGAGGGACGTTACATAGAGGACATAGGGGCGGGTCTGAGCGTGACATTAGATAGGCGTGTTAGGCGAGTGTGGCCAATACGTAAGCGTGCGAGGGCCGTCTCCCAACGTCTGTTTTTGTGAAATGGAGCTGACCAAGAGGAGATTGATGGTTTTACAGTATGTAATTTATTGTTGTGGAGTCTTGACCAAAAAGATTGCCATCGGGTATACAAGAAGGTTTTAAAGTGGGGGTAATAATCCGTAGCTGGAATATGTGAGAAGCGTTGTTGAGGTGATGTGGACATTGCGGCATAGCGTGCAAGAGTATCTGCCTGTTCATTGCCAGGGATTCCAACATGGCTGGGTACCCAGCAAAATCTGACAGATTTGTGACGTGTGCAACCAGTTCTGGATCTTACAGACAAGGGGATTGGTCGAGTGCATAGACTTTATGAGGGTTAAAGAGTTACGGGAGTCAGTAAAAATAGTAAAAGAGGAAGAGGGGATGAGTATATGCGTCTTAAGGCAAAAAGGAGTGCATAGTTCTGTAGTAAGGACACTAGATTCAGGAGGGAGGGTGTATTTGAAAGTGCAATTTGGGAATGTTACTGCGAATCCAGCTCCTGAGATGGATTTGGAACCGTCAGTGTAAACATGAATGCTGGAGGAATGAATGGAGACATGGTCAAGGAAATGAGTGAGAAGGATAGATTTTGGTGGGTCAGGGAAAACTGAGGAGCAAATACAGGGGTAGGTATATGAGGAATGGAATGGACAGAAAGTGGGAGAGGTCGGAGGTGAGGAAGGGGGAATGGGAGAGGAGGGTATCCATGCGTACGGGGAGGAGTTGGTAAACGTGGAGAAGAGGTAAAGGTATGAAGTAAGGATTGTGGAATAGTTAGTTTGGTAAGGGAAAATTGGTGAAATCGAGCATAGCATCGGAGAGAGAGAAGGGCTCGACGTCGAGAGAGGGACGGCATGCCAGATTCAGTATATAGGCTCTCAACTGGAGAGGAGCGGAAGGCGCCTAGGGCAAGCGGAGACCGCTGTGGTGGATTGTATCAAGGTGAGCAAGAAGAGAGGTTGAGGCAGAGGAGTAGATATGGCATCCATAATCTAGAGTGGAGAGAATCAAGGTAACATGAAGATGGAGGAGAGTTTTGCGATCTGAGCCCCAGGAGATGTGGAAAGAGTTTGTAAGATTCGGAGGCGCGTTGAGCTTTTTTTTATGTACAAGATATGGTCTCGCCAGGACAATTTGGAATCAAATATATAACGCCTAGGAATTTGCCAGAAGAACGGTATTGGAGTGGAGTGTTATATAAGGAGAGTGGAGGTTAGGGACCTATACGTGAGCGAGAGAAAAGAATGGGGAAAGATTTGGAGGTAGAGAAGCGAAAGCCATGGCTAGTAGCCCAAGAAGTTACTGATGTTATGGTGCGTTCGAAACTGCTCGTCTATCTCGTCCAGACCAGTTGGACGAGATGTTTTGACTGTTCGGAACCTCCACTATCTCGTCCCGGACAAATGGTCTAGCTCGTCCAACTCGCCCTTCTGCGAAGGTGGCCGAGCAGGACGAGATGACGTCACAATAGATTTTGTATGTAAACATTGACAGTTGCAGGTAACCACAAGATATTGGTGGGTAATTTTATGACCCTTTACTGGTGTTATCAAAGGATATTTTTGTGTTTGTCAGTTGCAGGTAAGTTATACATGCATCAAATGAGTTACAAAACCTATGCAGCGTGTAAAATAAAGACACTGGCATAATAAAAATGTGAATGTTTACATTCAAGCCGGTTGCATTCTGGGCTGAAAGGGTTATTGAGGTTCCGAACGCGGCCCACTTGCCCTGCTGGTCCTGGACAAGATGTCTGGACGAGCAAGATGAGCAGTTCCGAACGCAGTATTATTGCAGACAAGGAATTGACAGAGATCTGGTATGGATGTGCCAGATGCGTAGATGGTTAAGTCATCAACATTCATGATGCCCGGGCTCCTGGTGGTAGGACTAAGACAATGTCATTTACAGCAAGAAGAAAGAAAGTGGTACTAAAAGTACACTTCCTTGTGGGATGCTATAGGATGCTATAAAAGAGACTATACACGTGGCTTAGTACACCACGAGGACGGTAGTGCTCGCCTTGTGGGGCAAGTGAGCACATGGAGTTTAATTATAGCAGTCCGCATGGCCACCATGCAGCCGACCCGCTGTCAGAATATACAAGGTCACCAGGCTGACCCAAGGATCTCATTCTCATTCTCTCACACCTCAACGAGCCGGACCTTGACCGGGAGTGACCGCTCCTGGGCCAGGCCAGAGGACCCACTCAGCACCGGCGCCAGCCTAGTAGTGTTCTATTTCATATTGTGTTCTCTTCAATAAAGTGTGAAGCTAATCAGTGTATCACTAGCCGCCACTAGTAATTCAAACTACACTATGTAGTAGGCCGTTTAAGTACCTTTTACAGACGCCTTCAAACTGAGGAAAGGATGATGACGTGGAAGAGGCAATTTTGACCTGGAAAGTACGTTTAGAAAGGAAAGATTTTATGAAGACACCCATGTTTCCACGTAAACCTAAGGAGGACAATTGTTGGAGGATATGGTACTGCCATGTGGTATCATATGCTTTTTCTAGATCAAAGAATATGGGTAATACCGATTCATGGCGTGCAAATGCAGATGTAATATATGTCTCGAAATGGGCAAATGGGTCTGCTGTACTTCGGGCGCGGCGGAAACCAAACTGGGAAGGAGAAAGATTACGAGATGCAAGATACCACATTAAGCGGAAGTTAACCATTCGTTCTAGTAGTAGCTTGCACACGCAGCTAGTTAGAGCAATGGGGCGGTAATCTTGGGGTAGGGTACCTGATTTATTGGGTTTTAAGAAAGGTAGGATAAGAGCTTCTTGCCAATGAGCAGGAAAATTTCCTGACGTCTATATGTGGTTGAAAATAGTTAAAATGAAGGATAGAGAGGAAGATGGGAGGTGTTGGAGCATGCGATAGTGAATACCATCGAGGCCTTCATGAGTGTTGCAGCATGACTGTAATGCAGCGTTGAGTTCAGAAGAGGAAAAAGGAGCATTATAGGACTCATCAGAGGATAGGGTGAAGGTGATAGGGGTGCGGTCCTTAATGGCTTTAATGGAAGAAAAGTGTGGGAAAGGTGAGAGCTACTACTGACTTGGATGACATAGTCGCCCAGTTTATTAGCTACTTCGATAGGCTCAGAAATGAGAGTATCTCGAATGTGGAGGACCGGTGCAGGAGGGGGATGTTTGCCTGATAATTTATGGATCCGTCGCCAAAAGCTGAAATAGATGTAGATGATGTAATTGAGGAAACATAATTTTGCCAGCTATTTGTTTTACTGTTTCTGATTGTACGGCAAAGATGGGCAGATGTTCTCTTATATGAGATAAGGGCTGATAGCTGATGAGGGGTGCCTCGTTTGTAGCGATAGCTTCTCCAGGTTGCTCGTTTTAAGCAATCAGAATTCCACCATGGAACACATTTAGAGGTATAAGGTCTTGAAGTTTGTGGAATAGCTGTATAGGCAGCTCTTAGGATCGTGGTTGTAAAATATTGTAGCATACTTGAAATGGACGGCAAGGGGGATGGAGGGATAGGTATAGTAGAGAGTGAAGTGAAAGTATGCCAGTCAGCTCTATCAATGCACCAGCGAAGGGGATTAGGGAGTGGTACATATGATGTAGGAGAAAGGAGTATTGGGAAGTGGTCACTATAGGGGAAGTCGTCTAGAACTGACCAATGGAAATCTAAATGAAGAGTAGGGGAGCATAGAGAGAGGTCAAGGCATGAAAAGGATTGTGTGCGCATGTCAAAGTGTGTGGGGCAATCTGAATTAAGAATAATTAGGTTATTTGTGGAGAAGAAGCGTTCTAGAGATCGGCCTCGGGAGTTGGTGGTAGAATCACCCCATAGAGTGTGGCGGCAATTAAAATCACCAACTACGAGGAAAGGTGGTTGGAGTTGGGAAATTAAGAGTTTCAAAGGCAACAAAGTCAATGGGATGGGATGGGGAGAAATAGACTGAAATCACTGATCCAGCGGCGAAGAAAGATGCGAATAACTGTGCACGGGACAGTGGTTTGTATAGGAGGTATGGCATAAGGTGTTTTATGATGGATAAGTATATACGAGACATAAAGGGAGTGTGGGGAAGAGATAAAATGGTAATTGGGAATTGGAATAGGAGGATGTGTGAGGATGTGTGCTTTCCTCTCTCAGTCCAGAGGAAATAGCTGTTCACACCTTCCTTGCCAGCCCAAGACTTTGAGAGCACCAGAAGTAGACCAAGACCAAGACCTAGCAGAGCAGTCCAAGGGCAGGAGGTCACTCCCACCCTTGGCACTCAGGTCACAGGGTCCCTCTCAGGGGCCACACCTTTACCTCCTCAATAAAACCCTCAAGCAAAGTCCCCTTTACTTCACTACCACCTCCACGCTCCCCAACTCATGACTGAATGTTTTTGGTTATATTTTTTTAAATGCACTGAATCTCTGAAGAAGTAAAACAGAAGGAATACAGTCTTATAAAAAAAGACTAAAGTTGCACTCAGAGAAGCGGGACATTATAATGAAACAAATACCTGTATGAAACC